AGTGTGTAATTATGTTCTACGAGACAATAACGTACTATTAACCCTTTGAGCCCGGGCCTCCCTGGCCTAATTTCTCCCATTTCCTGAGCTCCCAGGGCCAAATCAATTTTCACTTATCTGCTTCTAACTTTGCCTATAACTTTTGAACCGTTTGAGATAATCAAGCCAAATTTGGTATCCAGACTCTGGATCAAATAATGCAGCAAGATTCTGAAATTCTTTATTTATTTTTTTACTATGTTTGAACAGAACAATGTATATAAAACGAACACATAATTATTGTTTTGATAGAACTTAGAAGAAACCAATTTACAATTAGTAATTGTTTTGTTATTATTGATACCTGGCCATACTAGTTCATCGCCAGAAGTCCACTTTTGTGTGATAACTTTCAAAACAGTTATCACTGCCGGACCCGATGCAAAGAAAAACTTTGCATGTTTTGCACCAGTAAACATTTTTTTTCGTTTCGGCAAGTCTTTGTCCTTGACACCACGTGCATCAGAACATACTTGAACAGTTTCATTGTCACTGTCAATTTCAATGTCATTGTGTTCAGTTTCAAATTCAACGTCACTATCATCACAATATAGACCAGGATTATTATCTTCTTCATCAGAATCAGTAAGTAGTTGTATTGCCTGAGATGCAGTCATTCTACTTCTTTTGTTGATATTTCGGTCTTTTGCTTCATCTTTTGCACCAACTTTGTGTGATAAAGTCGACGGCTGTGGCTCAGCTTTTCGTTTCGGCGGCATTGTTACGAAAAGTAACACATTCACTTTCAATTTTCCTAAAAATCAATTTCTAAAATCATAATCCCGCACTCAAAAGACATATGCACAGTTTTAGTCAGTCTTCCGCTAATTATATTTAATTAGACGGTATACCGGCCGCTAGGAATATGACGCTAGATCATCGGGCCGGAAAACCGGCTTTTCGGACATATATGGCTAATGTTGAAGCCGGTTTACCGGCCTAGCGGGCTCAAAGGGTTAAGTGGAAATAGAAAATGTTAAGCCCGGGAGATCAAACAATGAAAATTACACCTTATTTAAAACGTAAGTTTAAAATCTCTACAACTACAACAATTATGATTAAAATTAATCAATTATCCACAACTTATGATACGAAAAAAAGTTCTTATAAACTAGTAGATCTAGAAAATTATAAGGTGTGCATGTTTATGAAAGTTTGATTTCAACTCTTAACGTATATTTACCGTAATTGATAATTTCAGCGGCTCTAAAACTTACCCTCTATGGCGTACGTGGTAATTATGTTTCCTTTTTATAGAGAATATTTAAAAACATACGTTGGCCAATTGATTCTACCTTCTCTCATTTTATTTAACGCAACGGTAAATTCAGAAATCTTGTCTGATTTGTGTGTCTTGTAGCTAGATATGCGTCGGCCTAGTGTCAGCTCTGACCGTAAGAAATACACGGACAAGCTGTAACTGACCGTAAGAAATACACCGGACCTGGTCTGACTGACCGTAAGAAATACACCGGACCTCCTCTAACTGATCGTAAGAAATACACCGGACCTTCTGTAACTGACCGTAAGAAATACACCGGACCTCCTCTAACTGATCGTAAGAATTACACCGGACCTTCTGTAACTGACCGTAAGAAATACACCGGCCCACATTTAACTGACCGTAAGAAATACACCAGACCTACTGTAACTGACCGTAAGAAATACACCGGACCACCTATAACTGACCGTAAGAAATACACTGAACCACCTCTAACTGACCGTACGAAATACACTGAACCACCTCTAACTGACCGTAAGAAATACACTGAACCACCTCTAACTGACCGTAAGAAATAAACTGAACCACCTCTAACTGACCGTAAGAAATACACTGGACCATCTCTAACTAACCGTAAGAAATACACCGGCCCACATTTAACTGACCGTAAGAAATACACTGAACCACCTCTAACTGACCGTAAGAAATACACTGAACCACCTCTAACTGACCGTAAGAAATACACCGGCCCACATTTAACTGACCGTAAGAAATACACCGGACCTACTGTAACTGACCGTAAGTAATACACCGGACCACCTCTAACTGACCGTAAGAAATACACTGAACCACCTCTAACTGACCGTAAGAAATACACTGAACCACCTCTAACTGACCGTAAGAAATACACTGAACCACCTCTAACTGACCGTAAGAAATACACTGAACCACCTCTAACTGACTAAGAAATACACTGAACCACCTCTAACTGACCGTAAGAAATACACCGGACCACCTCTAACTGACCGTAAGAAATACACCGGACCACCTCTAACTGACAGTAAGAAATACATCGGACCACCTCTAACTGACAGTAAGAAATACACCGGACCACCTCTAACTGACAGTAAGAAATACACCGGACCACCTCTAACTGACCGTAACAAATACACCGGACCACCTCTAACTGACCGTAAGAAATACACTGAACCACCTCTAACTGACCGTAAGAAATACACTGAACCACCTCTAACTGACCGTAAGAAATACACTGAACCACCTCTAACTGACCGTAAGAAATACACCGGACCACCTCTAACTGACCGTAAGAAATACACTGAACCACCTCTAACTGACCGTAAGAAATACACCGGACCACCTCTAACTAACCGTAAGAAATACACTGGACCATCTCTAACTGACCGTAAGAAATACACTGGACCACCTCTAACTGACCGTAAGAAATACACCGGACCACCTCTAACTAACCGTAAGAAATACACTGGACCATCTCTAACTGACCGTAAGAAATACACTGGACCTACTGTAACTGACAGTAAGAAATACATCGGCCCACATTTAACTGACCGTAAGAAATACACAGACCTAGTTCTAATAGTGAGAAATACATTGAACCATCCTGTAACGCAGGACATAAACAAAATTAAGTTTTGCTAGAGTTGTAAATATCTTATAGCATTTATTGGATGTTGGCATATTTCTGTTCTATCACATAACCTAAGAGCTTTAACAAACGACATGGTTTTTTTCAGGCTTATCTTCGTGTCGGCATTGCTCCCATCCCCCCCCCCCCAACACATCCACGCCTACCCACCCCCCTTCCTTAAAGTATCATGCCCCCCCCCCCCCTCCTTTCTCCACCCTGGAGAAAAATGTCTTAAAAAACACACCGCATACTACCAAGAAATTAACTTAATGGCAAGCGACTGTATAGAGCTATAAATGTACCGTCTATTATAAGTACTACGTGGCAGAGGCGTAGAGAGGGGGGGGGGGGGCGTATGTGCGGACCGCACCGGGTGACACCATTTAGGGGGGTAACACCAAGGCAAAAAATAGCAAAATATTTAGAGAAAAACTTGAGGGGGGTGCAAATTGAAAGTTTAGGGGGGGTGCAAATCAAAAGTTTGAAGGGGGGGGGGGGGTGCAAATCGAAAATTTGAAAGATTGTCCCCGGGAAGGGTCGCTACGCCTCTGGGGGGTGACACCATTAAGTGCTGCACCGGGTGACACCCGACCTTGCTACGCCACTGCTACGTGGTTGGATCACGTAAATACATTGATTTACCTCCACCTCCCCACCCAAAGCGTACAACAAGCGTCAAAGGGAAGCGACTCTATTCTGTTTTCTAAGTGCTCCCTTTGTATTGTACCAATTATTTAACAAAGCGGATTAGTTACGTAAGATGTGTCTATTTCAAAGAGAGAGTTGGCGTTCACATCTTTTATCTTTTTTTACCAAGTTTCTCTAACTTGGTAGCTAAATGTTATATACTTGAATAAAAATGAATAATTTGAAAAGCATATTTTAGATAATACTAAAACTTTTTAAATTAGATTTTCTTAGATGTAAAAATGATTTTTCAATCTTCTAATTGTAGCCTATTTGCTTGTATTAAACTTACTTATTTATTCAAAAAAATATATAAAAAAAGAAAAGAAAAGAAAAAAATAAATAAAAAAAAAGAAAAAAAATAAATAAATAAAGAAGAAAAAAAAAAAAAGAAAAAAAAAATTAAACTTACTTATTCAAACCAAACATTTAGATCCGTGTTATAGTACTGTATTATCACTCATGGTGGGGTGATTTTTTTACAAGATTGTTTTCAATGTACATAGACGCTCTCATACTAAAAAGTGAAAACTAAATTTGTAATCAATTCTTTTGATATAGTTAACGGCTTAAGTCTCAGTGTCGTTTTTATAATACACGTATTTAGTATGAATTATCTTTTTAAAATATATTTATAAAATTGTGGGCCTACACGACACTCTCTTATTCAACAAAAAAACACTATAATTAAATTAAGAGGTGTTTATTTTTTTATCTATAACAAGAAAAAACCTTTGCGTATATATAGTTAAACAGTAGTTTCAATATGTATGTAGTAGTTGATATACATTATCATGGTCTTTAAAATGCTTAAAACACTAAGGACAGTCGCAATGATTAGCAGATAAATATTAAATTCATTGCAAATTTTAAAAAAATTCGTTTTATTTTCACTACAAGCTTTCTCAAAGTCTAAAAATAGTGATCGATGTTTTGACACTGTTCTTTGATCTCCAATCATATGACACTTGTAAATACGTCTTAATTAAGCCGACTCAAGCAACATGGTGATCAGATAAATGTTGACGTTACGTCTCACTGCATACACCTTCAGGTGAGGTAACCGCTATGCGTGTTACCTGCGTGCCACCGGCTGGCGGCGAGATGAAAGGCTGCCACAAGGGTGACGTCACTCTCGCAACATGGTTACCCCACCGGTCAGATAATTTTCGGACAATGGTCACTTATGAGTTATTGTGCTTACGTCAACAAATGTCTGCCACGGTGACACGTTACACCTTGAAGATGACGCGGATGATGGTACGTTGTGTAGGCGGCTGGTCACGTGTCACAAAAACTGGACTATATAAAACAGTGAAATTTAAAACTAACTCATTTTATTTGCGAAATTTCGCGGATGAGATTACCCCTTTTGGTTATTCCAAAATGTCTTTGATTGAAATGCTTGACGATGTGGACGTGTTCAGCTGTTTTGGTCTGACCAAGATTCGAACCTTATCCACTGCGAGAAACCTTGTCTACCTCACTAGACATATCAAGTACAAATCTGTTCAGAAAGTGGTCAAGGTCTACGAGAACGACAAGGTCTCGACGGAAAGATTCAAGAGCGAGGTGGAGATCCTTCAGAAGTTGCATCACCCGAACATCATGGCCTTCGACAGAGCCGCCATGTTAGCGTCACAGAACGTGATTCTGATGCCCTACTGCGAGTTGGGTGCTCTCTACCATCATGTCGGGAAGATCAGCTTGTTCCAACTCGACGACTACCTGTTGCAGATGTGCGGGGGCGTCAAGTACCTGCACAGTCAGAACATCGTGCACCGGGACATCAAGCTGGACAACATCCTGCTGGACGCTGGTCAGCGGTTGTACATCACGGACTTTGACCTGTCCTGTACGGTGCCCCCCGGGAACCCGGTGGTTCACCAGCTTGTGGGGACGGATGCGTACATGGCGCCCGAGATGTTGGCCAGCCCTAAAGGGTACTATGATGGATTTAAGGTACAGTTTTTGTTTACTTTTTACTATTGCTATAGTTGTGTAAAGAACACATCCTGGGCCAATTTTCCCTAGTTCTTGTTTCTATACTTTTTGAACGTATACCGTCCAACATTCTATTAATCTCTAATGGGTTTGGACAAGATTTAATGCTGAATACACTCCTTTAATGGTGGGGGGGTGAAAACTATAATAATTGCATTAAAACATTTTTAAAGTATTTTATAACGGGTATTTTATTTTTGAATAATTTTTCAAAAAAGAATTTTAAATTCATTTGATTTATGAAGTCGAAACTAGTCGAAACATCTACATTACTGTTGTTGATGTCTAACTACATCTACTTCACGGTTGTTGATGTCCAACTACATTCACTCTACTGATGTTATATTCTAACCAAATCTAAATATTTCAGCTGGACGTGTATGCCCTGGGTGTGGTTCTATGGTGCCTGTTGTTGTTGTCTAACTACTGATGTTATATTCTAACCAAATCTTAATCTTTCAGCTGGACGTGTATGCCCTGGGTGTGGTTCTATGGTGCCTGTTGTTGTTGTCTAACATCTATAGCACTGATCTAATCAAACCTTTATCTTAATCTTTCAGCTGGACGTGTATGCCCTGGGTGTGGTTCTTTGGTGCCTGTTGTTGTTGTCTAACTACATATGTACCACTGATGTTATATTCTAACCAAATCTTAATCTTTCAGCTGGACGTGTATGCCCTGCGTGTGGTCCTTTTTATGCCTGTTGTTGTTGTCTAACTACATATGTACCACTGATGTTATATTCTAACCAAATCTTAATCTTTCAGCTGGACGTGTATGCCCTGGGTGTGGTTCTATGGTGCCTGTTGTTGTTGTCTAACATCTATAGCACTGATCTAATCAAACCTTTATCTTAATCTTTCAGCTGGACGTGTATGCCCTGCGTGTGGTCCTTTTTATGCCTGTTGTTGTTGTCTAACTACATATGTACCACTGATGTTATATTCTAACCAAATCTTAATCTTTCAGCTGGATGTGTATGCCCTGGGTGTGGTTATATGGTGCCTGTTGTTGTTGTCTAACTACTGATGTTATATTCTAACCAAATCTTAATCTTTCAGCTGGACGTGTATGCCCTGCGTGTGGTCCTTTTTATGCCTGTTGTTGTTGTCTAACTACATATGTACCACTGATGTTATATTCTAACCAAATCTTAATCTTTCAGCTGGACGTGTATGCCCTGGGTGTGGTTCTATGGTGCCTGTTGTTGTTGTCTAACATCTATAGCACTGATCTAATCAAACCTTTATCTTAATCTTTCAGCTGGACGTGTATGCCCTGCGTGTGGTCCTTTTTATGCCTGTTGTTGTTGTCTAACTACATATGTACCACTGATGTTATATTCTAACCAAATCTTAACCTTTCAGCTGGATGTGTATGCCCTGGGTGTGTTTCTATGGTGTATGTTGTTGTTGTCTAACTACATATGTACCACTGATGTTATATTCTAACCAAATCTTAACCTTTCAGCTGGATGTGTATGCCCTGGGTGTGTTTCTATGGTGTATGTTGTTGTTGTCTAACTACATATGTACCACTGATGTTATATTCTAACCAAATCTTAATCTCTCAGCTGGATGTGTATGCCCTGGGTGTGTTTCTATGGTGTATGTTGTTGTTGTCTAACTACATATGTACCACTGATGTTATATTCTAACCAAATCTTAATCTTTCAGCTGGACGTGTATGCCCTGGGTGTGGTTCTATGGTGCCTGTTGTTGTTGTCTAACATCTATAGCACTGATCTAATCAAACCTTTATCTTAATCTTTCAGCTGGACGTGTATGCCCTGGGTGTGGTCCTTTTTATGCCTGTTGTTGTTGTCTAACTACATATGTACCACTGATGTTATATTCTAACCAAATCTTAATCTCTCAGCTGGATGTGTATGCCCTGGGTGTGTTTCTATGGTGTATGTTGTTGTTGTCTAACTACATATATACCACTGATATTATATTCTAACACAATCTTAATCTTTCAGCTGGACGTGTATGCCCTGGGTGTGGTTCTATGGTGCATGTAGTTGTTTTCTAACATCTACACCACTAATATTATTATCTAATCAAACCTTAACATTTCAGCTGGACGTGTATGCCCTGGGTGTGGTCCTATGGTGCCTGTTGTTTCAGGCCGACATCCACAACCCCGTGGACTACCTAGACGTAACCCACACCCACGACTGGCCCTTCTCCATGCTGTTCTACAAGTGGGTTCTGCTCAATGTCCTGCAACCCGACCCCGCCCTTCGATGGGACATCGAGAAGATGGTCAAATCACTGGGTCAAGCTGATTGGCTAGCAGAGAGAGCTCTCCTGCTTTAAGGTTAGTTATATTTCTAGTTTACACTGCCCCACTGTCATTTTTCAAGAAAATTATATTTAGAATATTTTTTAAACAAATGTATTAAATTTATTTTTATTAATATTAATAATTTTTAAATTTAAATTATAATCTATTTTTCTTATTTCTTCTCCTATAAGAAATTTTATTTCCTTTTCTTTTCAGATATTTTGTCTTTTCCCATTTTCTTTTGTTATAACATCTGTTACTTATTCACTAACAACATAACATAATTAAGAAGTCCAATCAATTATTTCCAACAGCATCGTTCATAACTATAAGGGCCCCTGCATTAAAAAAATTAAAGCATATCCAAATCAGTTTATCAAATGCACCCAGAGTAAATGAACACAGTTTTAGGTATAACTTTTTACGTGTGTAGAGTTCGATTCTTTTGACATGCATTTTGTTTAAATATATCACCTACCGTGGTCAGTATAGTAAATGGTCAATACATTTTGTAAATGACAAAGCGGTGAATTCATAAAACACCTCTAAGCCGGTAGTTAGACAAACAGTTTTTACAGAAAAAAAAACAATTAAAAGAAAAAAGTTAGTATTATTATTCATGTTTTGTAATATAATGTCACTCATAAGTACAAGCTTTATATATATTGAGAAGACGCGTACGAATATTTTTATATCATGTAAGAAATAACTGTACAATAAATTAACATAGCTAGAGACATTAAGTTATTTATTGCTTAAGCGTGTTATGTATAAAGTAATTTCTAGGGCTGTTTATCAAATGTTGAGTAAGTTTAGTTTAGCGTTTATAGGTGATAGTATAACAAGTGATACATCTGTTAGTAAATGTACAAACTAGATGAGTTAAGCACATAGTAGACAATACACTTCTTAGTTGCCGCGTTCTTTAGCTCCCTAACACTTTAGCTCCCTAACACTTTAGCTCCCTAACACTTTAGCTCCCTAACACTTTAGCACCCTAACACTTTAGCTCCCTAAAACTTTAGCTCTCTAACACTTTAGCTCCCTAACACTTTAGCTCCCTAACTGTTTAGTTTCCTTACACTTTAGCTCAATAACACTTAAGCTTCTTACAATTTAGCTCCCTAAAACTTTAGCTCCCTAAAACTTTAGCTCACTAACCTTTTGGCTACCTAACACTTTAACTCCTTATCCGTTTAGTTTCTTAACACATTAGCTCCCTAACACTTTAGCTCCCTAACACTTAAGCTCCCTAACTTTAGTTTCTTGATACTTCCACTCACTAGCAATTCAGCTCCCTAAACTTTAGCTCCTAAACATGTTAGCTCCCTAAAATTTAGCTTCTTAATACTTTAGCACCCAAACACTTCCGTTCAACTAATCCACTAATCCACTAACACACTAATCCACTAATCTACTAATCCACTAACACACTAACAACCCATGGCTCTGACTTCGGCTGGTCAACCACTTTTAATCAGGCCACGTTGATGACGTCATTGATGACATCACTGTGACGGTCCCAAGCCCGTGTAAACTGAGAGGGGAAATGGTCGTCTGTTGTCCCTTACCCCATCCCCCCCCCCAGCCCCTCCCCCTACCCTTTTATACTTCCTCCAGTTCCCTCGCACCCAGGTGACCTGCACTGCCTTCCCAGGTCTTCACCTACATCTACCTCCCCTCCACACCTATCCTATTCTCCTGTTTCTTCCTTCCCTCTCTCGACCAGAACCCCACACCTCCCCCCCCCCCTCCCTCCCCCACCCAGAATAAAATTGAATTGCTTCAACTTACCTGGAGCTCTGAAAATAGTAGCAGAGGCTTCAAGGATTTCTGGCCAGTTCAGTGCTTCTTCCAGACTTCTTTCTCCGGGGGGGGGGGGGGGGGGGGGGCACTTGATATTTTCGAGGGGGGGGACTTGATATTTTGGTGGGGGGGGGGGGACACACTGGTATAAGTATATGTTGTCTACATACATTTTATTTCGTTCGGGAGGGGGGGGGGGGCGGTAAACTTTCTTCGGAAGCTCTGACCCCCCCCCCCCCCCCCCCCCCCGAAGATGCCTAGAAGAAACTCTGAACCAGTTTCTTTAAGGAACTTGACACTTTCAGTTAAAGTATATATATTTTCTATATGAACTATACATTAGTTCGGGAAAACGACGGTGGACGTACTTTTGGGGAGGGCACTGCCCGAAGTGATGCCTTTAAGTTTCAATCAAATGCCGAAGCCGGCTGATAATTATATATTTGAAGCGTCAAGAGCCAAGGGAGATAACAAGATATATTTTAGTCCTCCTATAAGTTATAGACTAATGATGTTTAGTGACTTTATGAAGACAGTCACGACCGTCGTAACAAATCGGCCACAGTGGTACCATGTGCTAACAAAGCGGCCCACATTGGTACCATGTGTTCACAAAGCGGCCCACAGTGGTACCATGTGTTCACAAAGCGGCCCACAGTGGTACCATGTGTTCACAAAGCGGCCCACAGTGGCACCATGTGTTAACAAAGCGGCCCTCGTCGTACTATGTGTTAACAAAGCAGCCCACAGTCCTACCGTGTATTCACAAAGCGGCCCACTGTGGTACCGTGTATTCATAAAGCGGCCCACAACACAAATTGAGGTTCCGGGTTCACGGACCATGGCCTACAAACGCACTAACAGACAGTCAGAAATGTTTTTATTCGGTTCAAGAACTGGTGTTCAAGACCTGCGTTTATCGATATTGAACATTCAGCCGTGGATCAGGTAAAGTGTAGCATTTTTTTTTTTTGTTATTCTTAACTTCGAACAAACATTAGCCTTGTGAACGGTCACATTCAATTTTGATACAATTTTTTCCAAAAGGTAAAGTTGTGTTTTTAGACTTTGTAGTTCCAAAGGCAGACAAAGTAGAGTTTATCTGTTTCTGTGAGCAAATGAGCCTTAGTCGAGCCCGAGAATCGAACTCGTGACTTGCCAATTTTTAGCACTCGACCACAAGGTTCCTTCATATATATGAGTACGTTGATGTGAGCAACACATTTCAGTTGAAGGTATCCATCCCCCGCCATAGCTATTTATATAGTTATATATATAGTGATATGTATATATATATATATATATATATATATATATATATATATATATATATATATATATATATATATATATATATATATATATATATATATAATTTATATATATATATATATATATATATATATATATATATATATATATAGTTATATATAGTTATATACATAGTTATATACATAGTTATATATATATAGTTATGTATATAGTTAAATATGTATGGTTATATATATATAGTTATGTATATAGTTAAATATGTATGGTTATATATATAGTTATTCTTGAACCGAATAAAAATATTTCTGACTGCTAGAGCGAGACCCCGACTCCGCTATGAAAGAAACCAAATAGACACATTACTACAGGAGAAAAGCCATTAACAAACACGTTAGTGCCAGTATGTCTCAAACATGTGTTACACTTTAATGTGTTACACTTTAATGTTAGATCAAGAGACATGACTATTCTCGTCCCATGAAATTTTATTTAGCAAATGGGCCTCAAGTTCTTTTGTACTGAGTGATCAATAAAATGGTCCGACCGCTGCGATTCGGGGAATCCCCAAGAATATTCCGTTTGTTCCGGTTACGGTAAACTTCTGCGGAATTTTTTGTCTCACTGTTCTTGTAAAGAACTTTGTTTCGTATTGTTTTTGTTTGTTTCTACAGTGGTGTGTTCATTGTTTGGATTCGTATTTCTGTTTGCATTCATACTTGATAATAGTCTTGAAAAGTCTATGTATTCGTACTAAATTTTTAAAAAATCATTTTTCAATATATTGCATGCAATAACATTATAGCCAGTGGCGTAGCGTGGGGGGGGGCGGGAGATGCGGACCGCACCGGGTGACACCATTTAGGGGGGTAACACCAAGGCAAAAAATAGCAAAATGTATAGAGAAAAACTTGAGGGGGGGGTGCAAATCGAAAACTTGAGGGGGGGTGCAAATCGAAAGTTTGAGGGGGGTGCAAATCGAAACCTTGAAAGTTTGTTCCCGGGAAGGGTCGCTACGCCTCTGGGGGGGTGACACCATTAAGTGCCGCACCGGGTGACACCCGACCTCGCTACGCCACTGATTATAGCTACACTTTTAGAACTTAAATCTGTATGGAAACCATCGATTTCAGTTGTTTGTGTATTTTTGTATTCAATATAAGCAGCTGAAAAGCCGTTTAGAATCAGTAGCGTAGCGAGGGGGGACATATGTCCCCGGGCGCCGACCTTAGGGGGCGCCAAAATGGGTTGGAAACATAAATTGAAAGGTTGAGGGGGGTGAAAATCGAAAGTTTGAGGGGGGGGTGCAAATCGAAATCTCGAGGGGAGGGTGCAAATCGAAAAGTTTGTCCCCGGGCGCCGGGAAGGGTCGCTACGCCTCTATTTAGAATCATTTATTAATTCATATATATTTTTTTTTAAATATAATATCCCCTATCACCACAACACCCTGACTCTACTAATCCAAATTAAAAATAAAAGTGTTTGCTAAACTACTATTATATTACCAGTAATTGTTTGTTGGAATATTTCTAGCCTTAATAAAACCGGAAGTCACTTTGTACTTAGTACAAAAAAATTTATAAAATATTCAATTTTGGTTGAAAAATTGGCTTTCTGGCAACAAAAATGTGGGACCATTGAGAACCAGCTTTTAAAGTCTATTATATTTGTTTGTTGTTTGGTTTGTTGTTTTTTTTTTTTTTTGGTACGAGGTAAACAAATTTTGTTAATCTTGTAAATTAGAGATGCCTGTCATTAAAGGTAAACCGAGTAACGTTAAAGCGAGGATTTACGGTATGAGGTTATAATCTGTGATAAGATTTCATATCGATCTTTCTCTTTCTATGCTGTATGTTTCAGGCAAACTAGGGGGAAATCTGGATCACGCGTCGTTTATTTCAGAACCTTGAGTGATATGTTAATCCGGATTTTATTCATACACAAAATCTGGCTAATCCAATGAGTGTCATTTAAAATCTGGTACTAATCCAACAGGGTGCCACCAAAGTCAGAATTTATTTCATTCAGTTTCTATTAAAATCTGGATTTAAACAATTTAGTGTCAATATCTGGATGTAATCCACTTAGCTCCACCAATATTTGGATGTAATCCACTGAGCTCCACCAATATCTGGATACAATCCACTAAGATCCACCAACATCTGGATACAATCCACTGAGGTCCACCAATATCTGAATGTAATCCACTGAACTCCACCAATATTTGGATGTAATCCACTGTGCTCCACCAGTATCTGGATGTAATCCACTGAACTCCACCAATATCTGGATACAATCCACTGAGTTCCACCAATATCTGGATACAATCCACTGAGCTCCACCAATATCTGGATACAATCCACTTAGCTCCATCAATATCTGGATGTAATCCACTGAGCTCCATCAATATCTGGATGTAATCCACTGAGCTCCACCAATATCTGGATACAATCCACTGAGCTCCACCAATATCTGGATGTAATCCACTCAGGTCCACCAATATCTGGATGTAATCCACTGAGCTCCACCAATATCTGAATGTAATCCACTGAGCTCCACCAATATCTAGATACAATCCACTAAGCTCCACCAATATCTGGATACAATCCACTGAGGTCCACCAATATCTGAATGTAATCCACTGAACTCCACCAATATTTGGATGTAATCCACTGTGCTCCACCAATATCTGGATAAAAAACCACTAAACTCCACCAATATCTGGATACAATCCACTGAGCTCCACCAATATCTGGATACAATCCACTGAGCTCCACCAATATCTGGATACAATCCACTGAGCTCCACCAATATCTGGATACAATCCACTGAGCTCCACCAATATCTGGATACAATCCACTGAGCTCCACCAATATCTGGATGACATCGATCATGTCAGGGCGAGCAACAAGTCGCCGAACCAAGGTCCGCGACTCCGTAACAACGACCGACAGGGGAGATTACTACGCACTACACGACGCCATCAACGACAAAAAACCCCACGAAGTTCACCGGCTGCTCGCTCAAGGAGCAGACGTCAACGCTTCGGACAGTAACGGTCAAACGCCGGTCATCAGGGCCGTGAGTGCCGGCGACCGGCACATCCTGTCCCTGTTGATCGAGTACCAAGCTGACCTCGATGCCCCGGATAAGGTGTACGGGATGACCCCGCTCATGCATGCAACCTACCACGGTAACGATGAAATGGTGAACTTCTTATGCATGCAAGGCGCTAACGTCAGTATCAGGAACGCTAACAACGGGAAATCGTTGCTACACTACGCGGTGGAAAACAGCGATGTAACGACTTTAAAGAGGTTGATGCAGTTTGTCATTGAGCCTGATGTAAACTGTGTTGACAACAAAGGCATGAGTCCGCTGATGTACGCGGCGAAAATGGGAGAATCTGAAATGGCTGCGTTGCTGTGTCGCCACCACGCGAAGGTCAATGTCTCCAACTGTCTCGACGGCAAGACCGCTTTACATTACGCTGTAGAGGACGGGCACAAGAAGGTGGTCAAGGAACTTCTAAAATACGACGCATGCGTGAACATTGTTGATAAGAAGCATAAAACTCCACTTGAGCTTTGTGACTCGGAGTCAGTTAGACGTATCTTAATCGACGCAGGCGCGTTCGAGTTTGTGTACGGCGCTTCGTGTTGCTGGAGCAACAGTAGGCGTGGTTCTGACGTCAGCACATGGACGAGCGTCAGTCAACGGCCTGGGTCGGGGCAGAGTGACCAGAGGTCAATGTTCAGGAGCCAGAGGTACCTGATCAAAAGCTTGGAGAAGATTGTTGAAAACGAGTCGACGTTGAACGAGCTCAGCATCAAATTGGAGTTTGAAGAAGGTAATTGTTATATGTGTAGATGTTAATTGATGTAAGGTAGCTTGCTGTATTCGATGGGGAGTCCGTCTGGGTGGTCAGTGGTCCGGCATTGAGTGATCGGGATCCTGCCCTGGTAAGTCGGTGGCCTGATCTGGTTAGTTGGTGGTCTGCCAAAGCTAGTCGGTGGTCTGGCCTGGTTAGTAGGTGGTCTGGCCTGGTTAGTCGGTGGTCTGGCCTGGTTAGTAGGTGGTCTGGCCTGGTTAGGCGGTGGTCTGCCAAAGCTAGTCGGTGGCCTAGCCTGGTAAGTCGGTGGTCTGGCCTGGTTAGTCGGTGGTCTGACCTGGTTAGTCGGTGGTCTGGCCTGGTTAGTCGGTGGTCTGCCAAAGCTAGTCGGTGGTCTGACCTGGTTAGTCGGTGGTCTGGCCTGGTTAGTCGGTGGTCTGCCAAAGCTAGTCGGTGGTCTGCCAAAGCTAGTCGGTGGTCTGGCCTGGTTAGTCGGTGGTCTGCCAAAGCTAGTCGGTGGTCTGCCAAAGCTAGTCGGTGGTCTGCCAAAGTTAGTCGGTGGTCTGGCCTGGTTAGTCGGTGGTCTGACCTGGTTAGTCGGTGGTCTGCCAAAGCTAGTCGGTGGTCTGCCAAAGTTAGTCGGTGGTCTGGCCTGGTTAGTCGGTGGTCTGACCTGGTTAGTCGGTGGTCTGCCAAAGTTAGTCGGTGGTCTGGCCTGGTTAGTCGGTGGTCTGACCTGGTTAGTCGGTGGTCTGCCAAAGCTAGTCGGTGGGCTGTCCTGGGTGTTTAGTAATTCAGCCCTACCCTGGCTCTACAACTAATCCTTACATTTCAAAACATCAGAAGGGGAGAGAATAATTAAACGTTTTTTTACAAATAGCTAAGTTCGCCCATCTTTAAACAAGTATATTCTAACAAAACACCCTCAATGCTATTTTCTGCAAGTGACGACATTCGCCCTGGGTTTTAAGCTAACCCTGATCCAATGTCTATTCTTAACTCTACCGTATAACGTGTTCTAATCCAGACTCCATTTTACAACCACAACCGTAATACTAACTGATGCCGTCAGAAAACATACTTCTAGTAAAGTTTATTTAAAAAAACATCTCATCTCACGAGTGGGGGAGGGGAAAGTGCGGGGTAGCTACCATTATCCTAACAACGGGTCTTTTATTATTATTATTTTTTTTTTCTATCTTACCTATTAATCTGACGCAATGTTTTTAGAATCGACTCTGGGGTTGGATACCGAAAAGAAGTTGGGGTGGGGGAGGGGGGTCGTTATCATTCTCCTAACAAAACGTCTACCATAACCTTTTGTTGTTTTTTATCTTACAAATAAATCTACGCGCATCTTTTAGAATCGACTGTGGAGTTTGATTGTGACACGAAGGTTGTCCACGAACCCCTCCCTGCCCCCAACCCGCCTGAGCTGACAAGGGAAGCAACCCCTGACGACCTGGTGATCGACAGGGTTGGGTTCACGGAGTACCTGAAGCAATGTGCCGAGCACTACCTGAACCACTGGACCGATCCCAGGGCCCGCTACCAGCTGTGTGCTGATGCTGACAGCGAGAGGAACGACGTACAGGAGACATGTGACCTGCCCGGTGGAATCAGGTAATGAGGGGGAGAGTTAAGGTCAAGGTTATGGTTAGGGCAGTTTGGGGTAAAGGTCAAGGCTATGGTTAGGGTCAGACCAGGGTTAAGGTCAAGGCTATGGTTAGGGTCAGACCAGGGTAAGGGCAAGGTTATGGTTAGGGTCAGAGCAGGGTAAGGGCAAGGTTATGGTTAGGGTCAGTTCAAGGTAAGGGTCAAGGCTATGGTTAAGGTCAGGCCAGGGTTAGGGTCAAAGCTAGAGTCAGGGACTGAGTTCTGATTTGGATTGGAGTTAGGGTTAGGGTTATGGCATGAGCTAAAGTTATAATTGGGTTCAGGCCTGAACACGATAGTAATGGTTAGGGTTAATTTTGTGCTATTGTTATAATTGTTCCGTCGATGAGAGTTCAAGTGTTAACGTTATACTTGGATTAGGGTTGAATGATGAAATGGAACGAATAGGGTTTAAGATAGAGCACGGGTTCCCAACCTGGGGGTCGCGACCCCCCTGGGGGTCGCGAAGGTCTTTCTGGGGGGTCGCCAACTGGTATACTAAACTTTAGTAATTTGAAACATAACATAAATATTTAGAAGAATATTTGAAATTCGACTTCATTAACATCACTGGAAATGTGAGAAGAAGAAACAAATCTTCACCGGAACACACTGAATAAGATATGGAGTTCTTTCGTCGGTAAGAAGCTAGTTGCAAACGCCAGAAACTTGATCGAATAGGAAGTTTTCACCAGCATTAGTGCAAGCATCAAAGCCGCGATAGAAAATGCCAAGCAAAAAAATAATAAAAATATAGGAGAAAATCTCATCAAACGCTGCATGTACGTAAATGTTAACACATTTTTTATTGAAATTAAGCTTTCACCATTGTTTGCTTTTCAAGTTGATAAATCAACAGACGTGAGTTCGTGTTGCAGTTGCTGGTCTGTGTCTATATTCATGCGGATGATAGCAAAGAAGAGTTGCTATTTTGTGAAGATAGCATGGAGAAAAAAATACCGTTTTTAAAAACTGGATGATTAAAATGGGTTAGAACGGCTGTGGGGGTTTGTACGGATGGTGCGCCATCTATGTTTAGCTCAAAATCGGGCTTTCAGAAAACAGAAAAGATTTAGCTCCCTAACCACTGCCCTATCCAATCAACATCAAGAGTCCATTGCTAGTATAAGTCGTAAATTATATAAAATCTGGAGCCTTCAAAGAACTGAGCAAAAACGTTAATATAGATCACGAGGTTCTGCTCTTCTACACTACAGTACGCTGGCTGTCAAACGAAATGTTGTAAATTGTGTTTTGAATTGAAATCTGAAATCAAATTGTTCTTGGGAGTGCAAAGGAAAGAAGACTTTTTGGTATACTTAAAACGACATAGAGTGGTTGGAGAGAGTATCATACCTAGCAGATGTGTTCGAACATCAAGATAAGCTTAACCTGAAGCTTTAGGGAAAATGAACGAATATTATAACTTTCCATGATAATCTCGGGGCATTTTTATCAAAGCTGCAAAATCGGTAAAGAAACCAAATCGTGGAAATATTGTAAATTTGAGAAACTCTGCTGTGTGGTAGATGAATCTGATTGTGAGATAATTAAAATTTTGAAAGAAGCGATTTCTGGGCATCTTGAATCTCTTGAAAACGAACTGCATGGCTATTTCTCTGAGCTGAAAAAAGAAGAATCTGCATTTACGCAATACCCATTCTCTTCTTCCCTTGATGTTGCCTGCATTCCCGATGAATTACAAGATGAATTCTTTGATTTGCAGAATGATTTCAAGCAAGATGAAAAAGTGCAGACACAATTTTGGTGTAGTATTCACCATTCATACCCAAACGTAAAATTGATTGACTTTTCGAGAATATATTTTCAACACTATTCTTCGATTAAAAACAAAATTAAGATAATTATAATGACATAGGTTGGCGTTAACAAAATTTTTAAAAATTAAAAACTTAACCACGAAGGTTTAGTGAATAGTATGCAATTTTACTCATGCTATTAAAACAGTTATCAAGAGTAGTTCATATTGAAAGTCTAGTAGAAAATCTTATTTTAGTGCTTATTAATTTCCATACTAATTTCGGCTTTTTAATTCTATGGGGGTCGCGGGTCACTTACTTTTTATAAAACGGGGTCGCCACTCGAAAAAGGTTGGGAACCACTGAGATAGAGTGATTGTTACAAGATGAGTTAAGTATTAAATTTGGGGTTTAGGTTTTGTGTTTGTTACTACCATTTGTTACTATTGAGTCTATAGATAACTATTGCTAATTAGTGCTACACCGTTATTAATAGTAGTCAGTAGTCGATTCCTTAACCAGTGCCCCCCCCCTAACACACACCGAAGAGATGCCTGAAAGAAACACATACAAGACTAATCAATTGTAGGTTGTCAACATGATGATAAATATTGTCCGTCATTTAACAATTGCCATTAACCACCACATCACCCAACACATCACCCAACACATCACCCAACACATCACCCAACACATCACCCAACACATCACCCAACACATCATCCAACACATCACCCAACACATCACCCAACACATCACCCAACACATCATCACCCAACACATCACCCAACACATCACCCACCACATCATCACCCAACACATCACCCAACACATCACCCAACACATCACCCAACACATCACCCAACACATCACCCAACACATCACCCAACACATCACCCAACACATCACCCAACACATCACCCAACACATCACCCAACACATCATCACCCAACACATCACCCAACACATCACACAACACATTAACCAACACATCACCCAACACATCACCCAACACATCAACCAACACATCACCCAACACATCACACATCACCCAACACATCATCACCCAACACATCACCCAACACATCACCCAACGCATCACCCAACACATCACCCAACACACCACCCAACACATCACCCAACACATCACCAAACACATCACCCAACACATCACCCAACACATCACCCAACACATCACCCACCACATCACCCAACACATCACCCACCACATCACCCAACACATCACATCACCCAACACATCACCCAACACATCACCCAACACATCAACCAACACATCATCCAACACATCATCCAACACATCATCCAACACATCAACCAACACATCAACCAACACATCAACCAACACATCATCACCCAACACATCACCCAACACATCATCCAACACATCATCCAACACATCATCACCCAACACATCACCCAACACATCACCCAACACATCACCCAACACATCATCACCCAACACATCACCCAACACATCACCCAACACATCACCCAACACATCACCCAACACCTCACCCAACACATCACCCAACACATCACCCAACACATCACCCAACACATCACCCAACACATCACCCAACACATCACCCAACACACCACCCAACACATCACCCAACACATCACCCAACACATCACCCAACACATCACCCAACACATCACCCAACACATCACATCACCCAAAACATCACCCAACACATCACCCAACACATCACCCAACACATCACCCAACACATCACCCAACACATCACCCAACACATCACCCAAACACACTCAACACATCACCCAACACATCACCCAACACATCACCCAGCACATCACTCAACACATCACCCAACACATCACCCAACACATCACCCAACACATCACCCAACACATCACTCAACACATCACCCAACACATCACCCAACACATCACCCAACACATCACCCAACACATCACCCAACACATCACCCAACACATCACCCAACACATCACCCAACACATCACCCAACACATCACCCAACACATCACCCAACACATCACCCAACTAACACATCACCCAACTAACACATCACCCAACTAACACATCACCCAACTCATCACCCAACTCATCACCCAACACATCACCCAACACATCAACCAACACATCATCACCCAACACATCACCCAACACATCACCCAACACATCAACCAACACATCAACCAACACATCATCACCCAACACATCACCCAACACATCACCCAACACATCACCCAACACATCACCCAACACATCACCCAACACATCACCCAACACATCACCCAACACATCACCCAACACATCACCCAACACATCACCCAACACATCACCCAACACATCACCCAACACATCACCCAACTAACACATCACCCAACTAACACATCACCCAACTAACACATCACCCAACTAACACATCACCCAACTAACACATCACCCAACTCATCACCCAACACATCACCCAACACATCACCCAACACATCACCCAACACATCACCCAACACATCAACCAACACATCATCACCCAACACATCACCCAACACATCACCCAACACATCACCCAACACATCACCCAACACATCACCCAACACATCACCCAACACACCACCCAACACATCACCCAACACATCACCCAACACACCACCCAACACACCACCCAACACATCACCCAACACATCACCCAACACATCACCCAACATATCACACAACACATCACCCAACACCTGTTTTTTTCCCCCTACCAGGTTCATCAACCACATCACCCAACACATCACCGTCCACATCGGCCAGGCCACCTATGTCCAAACGGGCGAGAATGGTAGGATCGTCATCAAAGATCGCGAGACGGACAGTGTTGTCAGTGACAGTGTTGTCAGTGACAACTTCATCAGCAGGACAGACGCTAACGACCCTGATGACGTCTAGACCCCAGCCGACAGTCTCAACCACCTACATGAGATTATATAAAAACAAACCACAGATGAAACTGAGTTCACCTGATTCCGTGTTATCAACCGATTTCTTTTTTTCATCAGTTATTTTTTCAATCAGACGGGTTCGTTCAAAATACACCCCCCCCCCACCCCCAAAAATTTGAAGTACACCCCCGACCTGAAAGTTTCAAGTGATCGAGTGATCCCCTGGAGAAAAATGTTTGAAAGAAACACCGGCTACAGCCGCCCCACGTAGACCTCGAGATGTAATAAAAAGCTTTCTCCACATCTTCACGCTTTTTTAGACAACCTGTAAGCAACTCTATGGTGCAAGCGAATGAGTAGCTCAGTGGTTCTTAACCTGGTTTCCATTGAACCCCAGTGGTTCGGTGAATCAATCAAAGAGGTTCGGCGGAGGCCAAGATACACACACCCGACTCACGATCTGATTTTGTCAGTGCGGACGATTCAACTTCTAAGAAGGATGCGGTGAATGCGTGTAAGAAACATGCGAGGCTCAGTAACTCCAAAAAGGTTGAGAACCACTGGGGGTAGATAAACGTGCCGTACAGATCACCCAAGACATATCTTACACGTTAGGACTTGCAGACCAAATCATACATATTGGGACTGGCAACGTCTTGCTGAAGCCTATTCACAAATGGATCAAGGAGGTGTTGGACAAGAAGGTTTCAGAAGAGCCGTCTGAGTCTGTTTTTACAACTCAAATCCTGTTCTCTGACACTAACAATAGCCACGTTGTTCAGTCCGTATTGATTGCTAAAGTTGAATCAATAGCAGTGTAACGTACCAATACCCTACCCCTCACCACACCTCCCACACCCTACCCCTTACCACACCCTACCCCTCACCACACCTCCCACACCCTACCCCTCACCACACCTCCCACACCCTACCCCTCACCACACCTCCCACACCCTACCCCTCACCACACCTCCCACACCCTACCCCTCACCACACCTCCCACACCCTACCCCTCACCACACCTCCCACACCCTACCCCTCACCACACCTCCCACGCCCTACCCCTCCCCCAACCACCCTACCTATGTTTTTGACATTACGTCCACCGACCCCCCCCCCACACACACACACACACACACGCCCTTTCCCCCGACGATATAGAAAAAAGTTCATTTTAGGTATTTAGAAAAGATATAGTTCAGCTAGTGTCTGCCCCCGAATCCGGATGTTTCAAGACCCCCCCCCCCTTCCCCGCCTACAGGCACGGAGAAAGAAACAAACAAAGACCTCGACCCGTCTCCACCTTTTCAATGCGGTTCACTGATTATTCCAGAAACTTTTTTCTAAATACCTGTGTCAGCGGCTTAAACAATTGGATCAAACAATCGGATTAAACAATCGAACTGACAGTCGTGTGATCGGATTATTGGAAAAGGTCGCAACCCACCGACCGTTAACACACGGATTAGCGACTCAGCGCTGACAGTACCCTGGAGAGCAAGAATGTTTGATCAAGACTTTTCAAGCGCCACTCAGATAGTAATAAACTGTGGTAGTGATACCAATTTATACTAGCAGTTACACGAGTAGAAAACAAGGCATTAGTAGGAATAGAGCTGATATTGTTTCTGTATGTAGCCTACGTGCTTACTTGACATTTCTGTATGTAGCCTACGTGCTAACCTGACATTGATTTCTGTATGTAGCCTACTTGCTTACTTGACATTAATTTCTGTATGTAGCCTACTTGCTTACTTGACATTAATTTCTGTATGTAGCCTACTTGCTTACTTGACATTAATTTCTGTATGTAGCCTACTTGCTTACTTGACATTAATTTCTGTATGTAGCCTAAGTGCTTACTTGACATTTCTGTATGTAGCCTACGTGCTTACTTGACATTTCTGTATGTAGCCTACTTGCTTACTTGACATTAATTTCTGTATGTAGCCTACTTGCTTACTTGACATTAATTTCTGTATGTAGCCTACTTGCTTACTTGACATTAATTTCTGTATGTAGCCTACTTGCTTACTTGACATTAACTTCTGTATGTAGCCTACTTGCTTACTTGACATTAATTTCTGTATGTAGCCTACTTGCTTACTTGACATTAATTTCTGTATGTAGCCTACTTGCTTACTTGACATTAATTTCTGTATGTAGCCTACTTGCTTACTTGACATTAATTTCTGTATGTAGCCTAATTGCTAACTTGACATTTCTGTAAGTAGCCTACTTGCTTACTTGACATTAATTTCTGTATGTAGCCTACTTGCTTACTTGACATTAATTTCTGTATGTAGCCTAATTGCTAACTTGACATTTCTGTAAGTGGCCTACTTGCTTACTTGACATTAATTTCTGTATGTAGCCTACTTGCTTACTTGACATTAATTTCTGTATGTAGCCTAATTGCTAACTTGACATTTCTGTAAGTAGCCTACTTGCTTACTTGACATTAATTTCTGTATGTAGCCTACTTGCTTACTTGACATTAATTTCTGTATGTAGCCTAATTGCTAACTTGACATTTCTGTAAGTAGCCTACGTGCCAACTTGACATTGTTAGCTTTACTTAAAGAAACCCATGTTAAAAATAACGAAACACTACAGTCTGGCTTTCGTTAGCAGTTAAGTCAAAACCTTGTTCGCTCATGAAATATTTTTTTTATATATGATTTTATTTAAATCTGTCTAAAGTAATTTGGGTTTTTCTTATGTTTTGTGTTTCTAAAAGCTTCCTCGTCTTATAAAGGTTTATACAACGTTTAATAAGTAAAGCTCCCTTTTCAAGTAGAGTTCACCTGTTTCTGTGACATGGGCTTATAAAGTGTTAGTGAAGTCAGCTCTATGCCCAGCCGTCCTGACTTCTAACACACAATGTTTAAAAGTCAATCTTTAAAATTCTTTTAAATCTAATATTTGCCGTCCGTTTGTTTTTGAACAAAATGATAATATAAAAACTGCCTTAAAATGTGTGTTGCAGAGGCGTAGCGAGGGGGGGTGCGGACCGCACCGGGTGACACCATTTAGGGGGTGACACCAAGGCAAAAAATAGCAAAATATATAGAGAAAAACTTGAGTGGGGGTGCAAATCGAAAGTTTGAGGGGGAGGGGGGGGGTGCAAATCAAAAGTTTGAGGTGGGTGGTGCAAATCGAAAATTTGAAAGTTACTGAAATTTGAGGGTCACTACGCCTCTGGGGGGTGACACCATTAAGTGCCGCACCGGGTGACACCCGACCTCGCTACGCCACTGGTGTGTTGTGTGAATGTTATCCCACAGCCTGATTGACTACACATGGCAACCATTGTTTTCTTGTGACTGCAGTCATCACCCACAAGATTGCTCTCCCCTCGACTTACATTTCACCATTTTACGTCTCCAAATAACTTTATACCAAATTTCGTTGCGAAAAACTATTTGAAAAGGGGAAATAATATTTTCATAGTCCTCCAAACATTTACTAAAGTTTCTTTCTCACCAAAAAGTTTCCTTTTCAAACCTGACGGTCTATGGGGCAAGTGAAGTAGAGCTCACTACTAAACTATATATTTTTATTTTCTATATGTTGTTTGATATTTTTCAAAGGGTGATCGGAAAGATGCGCAACGGGAAACTATGCAACGGAAAACTGCACAAAATGCGAAATAGCATTTTAGTTTTCTTAAATTAATCGAGCATTTATAGACGTTAACAAAGAATTACCACGTATGCATTGTAATATTAAATACTTTTCCACGAAATATGACAAAATTAAAGTGTATTAGAATAATTTATTGATATTTGCGCATTTTTCTGACTGCGCTGTTTTCCGTTTGCGCACTTTCAAAGAATTTGTTTTTAAAATGGTGTAATTACTGATAGTAAATTTAGTAGACTTTCCTTGTATCAGTCATAGACGACTTAACGCAAGAACTGCTTTTCTCTAGGCGAATTGTTCTCTCCGCGCTATCATATTGACACCCCATTTAGCGCGACATGACCACTTTCTTTCATGTATCTCTTTAGGACACGTCCACCCCCCCCCCCCCCCCCCCCCCACAATCACATTGTAATAGAAAAATATAATTTATACAGAAAATAGATAGGCCTGCTTCAACCAGTCCGCCGTCCCGGAAATTTTAAGACCCCCCCCCCCCCCCCGCAGAAAAATGCGTGTGCAAGTTACCTTAGATATGACTAAAGTAATAAGCAATCATTATAGGCTATTGTAGCGGATTGTATGTAGTTGTAGTTCTAGCTCTACATTAGCGTGTGCAGGTTCCTCCCTTTTTTTTTTTTTTACATTAGATGTGTAGTGTGACTAAAAAAACGTATTAAAAATATTTGTGTGTACAAAAATATTACACCAAATGTGGATACAGGGTAGCTAGAGATTGTGGAGAGTATAGATATTGTTAGACTGATATAATACAGAGAGAGCCTGGAATTGCATGTAGTTGTATAAATTATAATTTGACCTATGTGCTATAAAATGTGGTATTGTGTCGACAACCTTACTTTGAATAGATATGAATTTTATTTCTATATTTTTTCAATCATAATTTTGTGTTAGGCGTTAAATAAAATGTATATAAATTGTGATAGTCCATTAGATTGTTTATAGAGTATCCTACTTTTGTAGGCCTATATAGCCTACTTTAGTCACTCAGTTAAAATTATTACATAACCCCACATCAGCGTAGACTAACGTGAATACATGCTTCTAGAGGTAGTACTGCAAGTTTCAGAGGTGAAGTAGATGGCCTCAGAGGTGTATATACCCATTCTATCGCCAGGAGCGAACTATCGATTCTCCCCCACCCCACTCACACACACCTTATTTATAGCCTAAGCATGTACTGTTATTCACGTATACAAAAAGTAAAACCAGTATATTGTATTAGTTTTATATAATTCAGTAATGCAGCTCAGCATTAGCTTATTTTATTTCTACCCAGTTCGGCGTCCCCTGTTGGGTCGTTGTCTGGGGCTACCGCCCCACACGCCCACTTCTAGCTCCACCTTTGGATGAAATGATAAAAGTAAGATAGGGAAACCCAAAACCTACATTTAAAATGTTACTGGTGACTACAATGTTTTAATTTAACCTCTTATCGCTATACATGTTTAAATTGAAAATTTAGCTGTGGGACCAAGTGTGCCGATTAAAACTTAGCTCCCAGGTTTAAATTAACTTTTGCTATAATAGATATAAAAGTTTTAAAGCATAAATTTTAAGTATTACTAGCTTACTTCAACTTTATAGAAATGTTGCATAAAGCCTAGACCCTGCCCCCCCCCCCCCTTAAATAACTCAGATTTAGACTAAACATCGAAGAGTAGATATAGCTATTGGGGAGGGACTAACAGCTAGAATGTGTACCATGTTAATGTGTAAAATTGCTAAGTCTAGATTTCCTTAATCTTTCAATTGCTATATTTTTATTAACAATTTTATGCAAGATGGAATAAAATTAGTGGAATGAAATAAAAAACAAACATCTCTTTTTATCTGCATCAATGACATTTAATAACAGAATGAACAATTAACATTATTGTATAAATGTGTATTGTCAAGAATAATTTTTTTAAACATTAAATGAGATTAATATACTGCAGATTAAAATAGGCAAATGCTATACATGCAAAAATTATTGAATTAAAATAAATTATAATTGTGTACATCAATAGACAAGAACTTCAACTATCCACAATAATCATATTTCCAGTTATTAAATAGGGCTATACCAGTGAAAGATGTAAAGAAGCAAAAAACAGCAAGCAAGAAACAATAATTCTTGACTTCTGTCTCAACAAATATCCAAATAATGACCAGCAATATAGACCAAAGCCAAACAATCACTATAATGAGCCAAACAATAGACTGAGACAACAAATGACCAGATTTTTCACGATTGACTAACCAAATAGACCAGGGCCAATGATTCAAACACTGGACTGAGAAATAAAATTAGGTAACTAAAGGATCATTAAAGTGCAGTTCGAGTGGCACCAATCATGAACATAGCCATCTTATTATCAACAGGCAATCGCACATCACTTTTGAAACAATTGGTAGACAGATGTAATACTATTACTAGTAGGCTTATTACAGATACATCGATATGCAGATACATGTTGAAATTAAAGTGTAAAGAGAAAGTGGGTGGAGAAATGAATATTAGTGTGAACTAGTTGACGATGAATATTTTGTTTCATAAAAACTGGTACAATCTTATATCGGACAATCATATAATAGCTTCCATAAGCATGGTATTTTTTTAAATTAACCATGACAACTAGGTATTTATAAAGAAAATAGTGATAAAACCAATTACAAAAAAGTTATGTAAAGATTAGGCAAGACAGAAAGAAATGCTGAGATACAACAGATGTTAAAGACTAAACTAATTCACGCAACTATTATCATACATTCTATAGCAGATAATTAGTTGAAATAAAATTGTTCTGGCTCCAAATACATTAGTTGGATTGTATATGAAATTTGATAACAACTATTTTAAGGGTTAAAAAGAGCTTTTTACTTTGAATTACAGATTTTGACTTGCAGTTTACTACATCAATAGTGCAGCCATTACATCAAATTGCTTAAAAATGCCATGAGACTAAGAAGTCGATGGTACGCGATTGAGCTTTGTCATTTTGTAACCATGGTAGTCTTGTGCACAGAGGACATTTCCAGTGTAATTCTTCAGTAATGTTGCCAGGGGAGTGGTGGATTGGTATTAAGTACATTCATGGACGGCAATTGAGATTCTTATTCTCATTAAGCATTTGTCCAAATTTTTTTAACAATTGTTTTTCAAAATGTATTGAACAATTGGAATCTTTTATTTTATGATTGAAAGTTATGTTTAAGCCATTTTTTAAGAAGGGGTAATAGAACTCACTTGGAAACTTGAGGGGAAAAAGAAAACTGGGAAAGCCAAGGAGAATAAAGTAATGATGGCAGTAAATCTCATACAAGTATAATGATACTAAAATCTAGCACACAGGTATCATGGCAGTAAAATCTAGCACACAGGTATGATGGCAGTCTAGCACACAGGTAAGATGGCAGTCAAATCTAGCACACAGGTATGATGGCAGTCAAATCTTGCACACAGGTATCATGGCAGTCAAATCTTGCACACAGGTATGGCAGTAAAATCTAGCACACAGGTATGATGGCAGTAAAATCTAGCACACAGGTATGATGGCAGTAAAATCTAGCACACAGGTATGATGGCAGTAAAATCTAGCACACAGGTATGATGGTAGTAAAATCTTGCACACAGGTATGATGGCAGTAAAATCTAGCACACAGGTATGGCGGCAGTCAAATCTAGCACACAGGTATGGCGGCAGTCAAATCTAGCACAGGTATGGCGGCAGTCAAATCTCGCACACAGGTATGATGGCAGTAAAATCTAGCACACAGGTATGATGGCAGTAAAATCTAGCACACATGTATGATGGCAGTAAAATCTAGCACACAGGTATGATGGCAGTAAAATCTAGCACACAGGTATGATGGCAGTAAAATCTAGCACACAGGTATGATGGCAGTAAAATCTAGCACACAGGTATGATGGCAGTAAAATCTAGCACACAGGTATGATGGCAGTAAAATCTTGCACACAGATATGATGGCAGTAAAATCTTGCACACAGGTATGATGGCAGTAAAATCTTGCACACAGGTATGATGGCAGTAAAATCTAGTACACAGGTATGATGGCAGTAAAATCTAGCACACAGGTATGATGGCAGTAAAATCTTGCACACAGGTATGATGGCAGTAAAATCTTGCACACAGGTATGATGGCAGTCAAATCTAGCACACAGGTATGATGGCAGTCAAATCTTGCACACAGGTATGATGGCAGTAAAATCTTGCACACAGGTATGATGGCAGTAAAATCTAGCACACAGGTATGATGGCAGTCAAATCTAGCACACAGGTATGATGGCAGTAAAATCTTGCACACAGGTATGATGGCAGTAAAATCTAGCACACAGGTATGATGGCAGTAAAATCTAGCACACAGGTATGATGGCAGTAAAATCTAGCACACAGGTATGATGGCATTCTAGCACACAGGTATGATGACAGTAACATCTAGCAGACAGGTATGGTGGCAGTCAAATCTAGCACACAGGTATGATGGCAGTAAAATCTAGCACACAGGTATGATGGCAATCTAGCACACAAGTATGGTGGTAGTAAAATCTAGCACACAGGTATGATGGCAGTAATATCTAGCACACAGGTATGATGGCAGTAAAATCTAGCACACAGGTATGATGGCAGTCAAATCTAGTACACAGGTATGGTGGCAGTAAAATCTTGCACATACAGGTATGATGGCAGTAAAATCTAGCACACAGGTATGGCGGCAGTAAAATCTTGCACACAGGAATGATGGCAGTAAAATCTAGCACACAGGTATGGCGGCAGTAAAATCTAGCACACAGGTATGATGGCAGTCAAATCTAGTACACAGGTATGATGGCAGTCAAATCTAGTACACAGGTATGATGGCAGTCAAATCTAGTACACAGGTATGATGGCAGTAAAATCTAACACACAGGTATGATGGCAGTAAAATCTAGCACACAGGTATGATGGCAGTCTAGCACACAGGTATGATGGCAGTAAAATCTAGCACACAGGTATCATGGCATTCTAGCACACAGGTATGATGGCAGTAAAATCTAGTACACAGGTATGATGGCAATCTAGCACACAGGTATGGCAGTAAAATCTAGCACACAGGTATGATGGCAGTAAAATCTTGCACATACAGGTATGATGGCAGTAAAATTTAGCATACAGGTGTAGTAATACTTTGTGTTATATGGTAATTAAATCTAGCATAAGTGTTTCTAAAAGTTTTTTTAAAAAACACTTCACAAGTAGGTGCAAATACAATCAGAAAGGAAATAGAAAGAAAATAGTTTAAGGACAGAGACATAAATGTCAAATTAAGATAAATGATCAGTACATTTGAGAACATTGATCTCACAAAAGCATAGAATATTTCTCAATGTGAGAGTTCATACCAAGAACTTTTCGTTATGTGCAGTTACAACCATAGGTACAGAAAATACACTATGAAACTTCAGTGTAACAAGAAATCAACTTGTGAAAACTATGGTAAAGCAACCTCAAAGACATCAGCCTCTTACAAGATCTGCCCACAGCAATCCATTTAACGTAAAGACCTCAAGAAAATCTAACACAAAAACAACGTGTGGACTATATTAGTTTATCTCTATAGGGATATAAGATCACCTCAAGTGAAAACAAAACTGAGAACAAACTTTTGGAGTGACATGAAATCTACCACAAGGGAGTGTAACAAGTAACAGATAAATAAGTCAAGTTGCAGCCCCTGAACCACAGTGGGTATCTTAGCCAAATTTTTTAACTGGAAACAGATTACAACAATGTATACAGTGCTTAACATTAAATAAATTAAAACTAATTAGTCTAGTAAAATATTTCAATTAAATCTTCACTAAATTAGCACTAACTATAATTTGTTTGGCTGATAAATGCATTGTAAAAAATAAGGGATACAGCACTGTAGGCAACTGCCTTCATCCAGTAAGAGAAAATATAGTGCACAAAAAGTTTTTATATCCTGTGCTATCTAACATTGTTTTGATCCACAGTAAGATGTGATACCAACCAATAGAGAACACAATATTAATCTTGAAGACTGTCGAAAATGGTCTTGAGCCAATTCACATGAACACAACTGAACCACTGAACAATAAAAGCTATAGAAGTCCTATATTTATTAAAGGTGAATCTGATCAGCATTGCTATGGAAGTCAATAGGGAAACTGAGGCTGTGTTGTAGTGAAGCTGCAGAATTTCATCCAAGCTTTTCTTGACTGGCAACTGTTTTTGTGGGAAGCTTTGGACATGATACAATGTGACTGATCCTTCCTTCATGTGGAATGTTTGAGCCGTGAAGAAGTGGGTTGATATGTATTCAGAATTCATAAGTGGGATGCCTGCTTTCTGTAAAAAAAAAATTATTTCACAACTTTCATTCATATTAATTTAATTAGCATGGTTTATTGATTCTAAAATTTGCTACAGGGTCAAACAAATTACTTCACCCCATTGGTGCTGACTGTTGAAATGATCCTCAATATAGGAATTTCCTCATGCTCCAGTAAATGGCAGATGGTCTCCCTTGCTCCATATGATCCAGTAGATAGTCTCCCTTGTTCCAGTATGATTCAGTATAGTCCAGCTGATTCTGAAATTTTAAAATGCAGATTTAAAACTCAACATAAATAGTGTATATCTCTTTATGTAAGTACTAACCACTCATTAATTATTATCTATTTAATGAACCAAGGAGATTAAGTTTAGTTTAAAATATTGAACTAAATGACTCTGGAGCTAACAGCCAGATTTCTTTCAAGTACCTAAGACATATCTAGATATAAAATGTTAACTTTACTAATGTAATATTTCAACCATGTATATTAGGGTAGGCTACTATGTTACATGATGAGTACATGAAAATGAGTAAACTGCCCACCTGCGTTGGGCATAGATTCATCTGGCTACAGAATTTTCAGATCAACCTGTACTTCAGCTTTGTTACCATCAAGATCCTCTAAAATAATTTTTAAATTTAAAATTTCATGTCTAATATGAAGATTTCTTTGTTCAAAATAAAATAAAATGTTTTAAAACTATATGATATTTAAATTTTTTATTTGTTATCCTGATTGACTTCTGAAAAAAATAGAAATTAGAAGTTGAAAATTGTTTTATATGGGAAATGCTGTAAAAAAAAGAATTATGGCTGGATGTTAAAATAGAAACAAGTTTTAGGAAAAAACAATCCTTTAGAGTTGTATGGGAAGTTTCTGCAAATATTTACGAATACACAAGTAGATGTATACATAGTAATCAGGAAAATAGTTTAATTATAAGAATACGGAATCATATGTAAATAGTGCTTGATGTAAAATAAAAATATTTCAGTATGAGACACAGACTTCCATAAAATAAGTATTGGTCTACACAAACTATAAACCAAAGGTAACAGCAAAATCATAAAGAAACATACAAATTATACAAAGGACAAAACAAATCAGCACCTACTAGAATATTAAAGTAAATAATTCAGTGCATTAAAATATATGTAGGTGTAGATACTGACCAAATTAATATAAATGTAACAGATCTAATTATAAATGGAAAAGGTGAATAAAAACATACTTTGAATAGTTATCCAAAGTCATAAAAATGTTAAGACTTATGGAAGTGTATATTTAAATATTAGAATATCTGAAGAGCAGAGCAGTTTGACATAAATAAAGAGAAATAATAGAAAAGATAATTTTTTTAGGTATACACACATAGAATATTGGCTATATATAAATCAATTGATTCTTTATGTCAGTACAAAAAAACTCATTAAGTAAATACTATAAGCATTTAAACTTTCTAAGGTGAAGGTTTATATCTAAATACTCAAAAACTAAACCAGACCTAGTTAATTTTGACTCCCAATGAGTAAACACTCAATATTAAATTTAATAAAAAAGTATATGTAGTGCTACAATTATAATTTAACAAAGTACAAAAATAAAATAGCATGAAAAAGTATAGTTTAAGAAAAAGGTTAAACAAAAATAAATCAAATTACATTGAAGATGTAGTAGCCTGTAATATGAATGAGAAGTATAGATTTTTCTTAGAATTAAAATGAGCAAAAATTGTTAGGTTGTGGCTGAAAAAAAAAATGAAAATAATTACTGTTAAAATAATTAATTTTATACTTAGAAGAATAAAAACATTTCAAATAATTAAAATATATTCATAATAGTGCAGCCTAACTAAAAACAAAATCAAATGCAATTAAAGCAAAATGTCTCAAATTAATTAAACAATTCTTTAACATTTTAAATGAAACCAACAAGTGAAATAGAAAACAGTTTAAAAATCAGGGTTAAAGTTTCTCTAAAATATTTGCAAGAAAAGAGATGAAGGAAAAATACATAATGTTGCAAAATGTTTATAACAAAAACAAATGCCTAATAAAGCTGAAACCAATGAAAAATGAGTTAAGAAAAAAAATATAGTTCCATTAATCAGCTTGAATATGTAGATATTGAAGATCATTTTTAAAAATAAATACTTATAAGAAAGTGAAAAGGTTTAAAAGAGCAATAGAATATTAGCAACATACATCAATAATATTGAAAAAGTATATGTAGGCAACCCTAACATATAACCATTATTAAACATTTACAAAGAGGTAAAAATATGTTAGTAAATTTTAAAATGCAAGTAAATTTAAATATTAGACTTGGAGAATGAATAAAGTAAATGTAAAAGGTATGTAAAAGAAAGGTTTAAAAAATAACCATAAATATTAAATAAATTGCAGCTAAACAGTGTCTATAGATAGAATTGAGAAGCCAACTGTGGAAAAAATTGTAAACTTAATATAAAGCAAGCAAAGTAGATCTAATGATAAAGACATACAAAAGCAAGTGTAATAGTGTATACCTCTAATTAAAAACATGAAAACAATGTTATACATACTGCGAAAAGAAATTTAAAGTTAAAATTGAATAATCACTCTAGGTATGATAGGTTATTAATTTTTATACTTTTTATATTTTTTTAGATCTAATTCTAAATAGTCTAATATACTCTAGATCTCTATAGCCTAAATGTAATCATTAAAAAGTTAGTAGGCATATTATATAAATAAATCAATAACTCTAGAAATACCTATTAAATTATTAATCCAATTAATCCATTATTATTAAATTATTAAATTAATAAGGCATAGACATAGTCTATAGACTGAGGTTAGTATGGCATACGCACCATTCAATACTTGCTCTTACAACCAGAGTTTCTTCCAGGCGCCCCCCCCCCCCCCCGAAAAAATTTTACCGCCCCCCCCCCCCCCCCCCCCCGAACGAAATGAAATTTATATAATTTATATAGAAAATATATACTTTTAACAGTTTACCGCCCCCCCCCCCCGAAGATTTCAAGTGCCCCCCCCCCCCCCGGAGAAAAAAGTCTGGAAGAAACACTGCTTACAACTACATAAAATCAATTATTATAACTTATCTTGTCAAAAAGAATTGAAATAGACAAAACCCTGGCATCTGGTCTAGACGTGGTGTTGATCCAACATCTTCAGCAGTCAAGCTAGCTCTGTAGTTTTGGGACATCTCTGAATCACGTGATGCGCAACTTTGACGCCAAAAAATATTTCTACACACAATGATTCAGTTCAGTTGACAAGCACTCACGTATTTTGAAACAACAACAAAACTGTGTCAAAGCAGAGAGTTAAAAATAGAACAAAATATAAACAAACTAGATCTACACGATGTCCGTGTTTTCCTTTAACCCACGATGAGTTACGTAGAAATCTAAAGGCTACTTTAACAAGGGTGGGCCTGCTTTGTCTATAGTCACCATATTGCATAGGATATTGTGGACAGAGTTTCTTAACAAGCATCTTTTCGGGGGCGGGGTGTGCACTGCCCCTCAAACCAAGCCCACCCTGAAATTTCCAAGGGGAGGGGCGGACACTGGTAAAAGTATGTTTTCTATATAAATTTCTTTTCGTTGGGGGGGGGGGTAGACTTTCTTCGGGGGGGATGGGGGGGGGGCGGAGATGCCTGGAAAAAACACTGTAAAAAAATATATTTACAAATTTTATACCAAAAATATATACTTTAACTAGTTTTTTGCCCCCTCTCCGGAAATTTAAGAGTTCCCTCCCCCCCCCCCCCCCCCCCCCCCAGGTAAATTTCAAGCGCCTGAGATAATATATTTGAAAGAAACACTGTAGAGTTTTAAAAAAATGCACAGATAATATTTCGCCTATTCTGTTGAGAAAGATAAATAACACACTTAAGCTCATCCCAGTTTTAAAATTATTTCAATGTAAACAAACGTGTACACCTGGAGGAGGGGTGGGGAGGTGTAATGACACGTGAGCGTTATTTTGGGAAGATCTCTTTGGTGTGTGATTTGTGAAAACTTTTTGGGAGGGGTGGGGTAGGTTCAGACAAGCTTGAACTGCTTTTTTTATCTGCTCCTTAGAGGTGTGGCAAAATATAGTTTAAAAATTTGCAACGAACAAAAAGCTTACGAAAATAGTATAGTTCGCACGTATATCAGCCAGTTGACATTTTATTTATACCTGACGCTATCTTTAAAACACGAAGACAACTTGGGTTATTTATTTTATTCCCGGAGATACAAAAAATGCTACGCCTCAAATTTAAGTAAAAAAAAAAAATAAGTTTCCCTTTCAAGCCTGACGGTCTATGGGGCAAGTGAAGTAGAGTTCACTTGTTTCTGCATATGAGCACTATGCTCAGCTGCCTTGACTTTCCCTAACGTGAGGGACGGTTTACTCACTTGAACCCGGATTCGAACTCGAGACATACGGGTTAGTAGTCCAGTTCTCTATCGCTAGACTACTCCGCCCGTCTTCAAAATTAAGAAGCTGTAAAATTATAAATGCCAAAATGTTTTACTAATTATTTTTTAAATCAATATTCAAAGGGCGACAACAATGAAAATAACAAAAACTCATATGACAGTCCTGGTTGCCTCTCTTTTATTATCAAGCAGAATACGTTAGATTTCCACTCTCTCGAATACAGAGTAGCCTGTGGAGGAAGTATTGTTATATTTTTATATCTTTTCTTTATAACTGTATTATGTGTGGTAAAACAATAACGTGCATACCATTTCAGTTAGATGGAAGAAATTTCAATTATAAGTATTAGATCCCAATTCATTGTTCTTTTTTCACCTTTTGAGCGATTTCCATTTTAATCATAAGTGGTACATTAAGTAAGCTTTCTCAAAACCAATGATTTGAGTATCATTTCAGTTAGGTGGGCAACATGTTATATACAAGCAGGGGCGTAACGAGGGGGGGGGGGGGGCGGGGGTGCGGACCGCACCGGGTGACACCATTGAGGGGGGTGACACCAGTGCAAAAAATTGCAAAATATAGAGAGAAAAACTTGAAGGGGGGTGCAAATCGAAAACTTGAGGGGGGTGCAAATCGAAAGTTTGAGGGGGGTGCAAATCGAAAACTTGAAAGTTTGTCCCCGGGAAGGGTCGCAACGCCTCTGGGGGTGACACCATTAAGTGCCGCACCTGGTAACACCCGACCTCGCTACGCCACTGTATACAAGCATTAGATATACGTATATTTTTATCTTTTAAACGATTTCCAGTAAACGCGAATGATACTTTACTCCGACTTCTCAGAAGGAGGAAAAATTCAATGATGAACAACTATAATCATGAAGATGAATTGGGGGTAGAAGGCTATATTTTTAAGTCAGTGGTGTATGTATATCACTGTTGGTTAAAGAAAGGCGCCTATCTTGTGGTCGAGGTCTTTACTAAACTTTTATTTAATGAAGAAACGTATCAAGTTGTCGGTGTCTGTACCTATCGTTGAGTTAATGAAGGCGCCTTCCATCAGCGTGGCTGATGCATTTTACGGTAGATACTTTTGGATGTGGGATATAATGGATAAATTAGTCACCAGCACAGTCCAAACATTCGAGAAATAACTAAAGAAATGCTTTGTGTATTTCATTATATTAACTTTAAGTGTATTCAAAAGCGTGTTCAACGAAGGTTTAATTTATTCTATAA